GAGCATTCCCGAGTGGCAACTTCAGAACCTGAGATGACGCGGGGGTACTTTCGGAGCTGAACGAGATAGACAGTTGTCCAAGGGAAGAGTAATAGACGGTGTCAGGAAGTCAATTTCGTGGCGAGCGACGATTTTCTTACACGAACAACACGGCAAATATGTTGTATGAAGGCCGTGAATAGGACCAAGTCCATCCGGATCTTCGACACCGCGTTGAAGTCGTCCAAACATGAGTTCATCTTATCCTGTAATTTCTGATGGTCTTGGACTTCCATGTAGCTCGTCGATTTCGGGTCCACGAAACTCGCGAATACTATAGGTTCCTGTTTGACGATTTGGTCGTATTGCTTCTTGAAGTGGCGGTCCAGCATCCGCTTCATCAGAGAGAAGAACCAGTTGCGATCGGGCCTGTTCACGAGACGATCCTCGAAAACTCTCTGGCACTCGTGCATCCAGCACTTGGCCAAATCGTCAACCTGAAATTTTACTTTTCATCACTACTGAACAACATCCCAGTTACCTTCGGCAGGCTTTCCCTCGTACACTGACAAATGCCTTGGAAAACTTTACTGAGATCTCTCAGATTGAACGTGTAATGGGACTTTGCCGGAGTGGGCAGCATTTCCGCAGACATTGTGTTATACACCTCAATAGTCGCAGCCACCACCGTGGCCGCATGACCAGCAACTTCTCGCGGCATCACGCCAAGGAATTTTTGAACCATAGTCGTGAAGATCCTTGCAAGCGACTCGTCGTCAAATGGCGTGACGAATATCAAGTTGAACTGTCTCGAGTACCGATCCGTGATATCGTTCTTTCCTCCGCCTGGCGGTCCCATAGCGGCCAGATACTGCATGTCCACGAACTGGCGGAATTCCCAGGTCTTCCTATCGTACCAACCACTCATCGTGAGACCTTGTCTGAGGATCTCTATTGGTGGCTGAGCGCCATAAGTCTCCTTAGCCGGCATGTTCACATCGTCGATGAAGACGAGCATTTTCTTGTCTGGTGGAGGGCCGTAGACACCCTTCCGCCGCTTGTCCAATTTGCCGTCAATAATATCCTGTGTTTGATTAGCGGTGGTCTGCGCCGAGAAGGCGAACGAGATTGTCGCATACTTTTCCTTGTCGAATCCACTCAAAAGCATTCCTGCTATCGAGACAGTTTTTCCAGTGCCCGTCACGCCAGACATCAGCACATGCTTGCCCTTTTCAATCAGGGTCCTGATCAGGAATTGATTTCGCACAGTGTCGCTGGTCGGCACGATGATGGCGTGGAATTGCGCGTCCTTCGGGATATCGAAATTGGTGATCCTTTCTGTCCACGGCTTCCATTTTCCGTTGTCTGTCGAGTCAATGAAATAGTCGTGCAGTAAGCCCTTGCTCGGTAGAGGTGCCGGGGACACTCCGCTGACAAGTTCCGTCGCGGACCACTCCGCGACAAATTCTTGTTTCTTGATGAACTCCTTTTTGTTCTCGAACATTGCCCGTATGACGGACTCGACGAAGCCTCTGCCCTCCTGGTCCGTGCAGGCACCACACGTCCAGAGCATTGAGAAAAAGAATATCGCGTAGATAAGCTGCTCCCGTTCTGCGAACGTCTGCGAGTTTTCATCATCTTCAGCAAGGGTCGGCCGACAATACTTCTCTTCAGAGTCCTCGAATAGAGATTCCATCAGCCGACAAGCGCTGTCCGCCAGCCAGTTGTCGATCACAGCCACTGGCGTGCGAACCCTATGCGTGCATTCAAGGCAGACGTTGAAATTGTGCTCGAAAAGACTCCATATAAAATCACGGTGGTCCTTGCGGATGAATTCAGGAATCTGATAATCTAGCCACGACAGGACGATGGGTTTCCATCCGAGATCCGAGTCGGGTTCCATGAATACCATGCCGCATCGTGACACTGTTGCAGGGGAAGCAACAGCCAGATCACGAACCTCGAAAATCATTGTAGTTGTCGGCGACAGTTTGATGATTTCGCCAGAGTTTAAACATAATTTTTTGTTGTCGTCAAGAACAGTGTTCATATTTTCGATCCAAATGGCATCCACTGGGCCGTCCAGGACCACCCAT